ACATGGAGGGAAGGGGGGCTGTGGGGAGAAGGGGATGTAGGCAGAGAGGGGGACATGGGGGAGAAGAGCGGGCATGGGGGGACACAGGGGAAAAGGGGGATGTGGGGAGAAGAGGGGATGGAGGAGGAGGGACGTGGAATGTGAGGGGAGACATGAGAAGTGGGACAAGGGGAAGCGGGGATCTGGTGGGGAGAAGGGATATGGGGTGGGGGAAGAAGCGTGTGAGTGAGGGGACGTGGGGAGAAGGGGGAATATGTGGGGATGTGGGTGTTACACGGGGAGGAGGGGGGACATGAGGGAGAAAAGGGACGTGGGGATGTGGAGAAATGGAGCGGAGGAGATGGGATCATGCCGGGGCAAAGAGGGGAACTTGTGGGTGCTGCCACATCAGGAAGGACCCAACTAGGGTAAAACTCGCCCCCCGCACAGGCGGGAGTGGGGGTCTGTGTCCCACAGGCACAGCCCTGAGGGTCTGGCTGGGGGGTTGCGCCTGTTCTCAGCCACGGCATCGCCATCTGGGGGGTGACAGGGTAACGTGGGCTCGGCTGTGCAAGGGGTGACACAGTGGCACTGTCCCTTCCTCTCCGCCTGCTCCCTGGGTGTAAATTCCAGTCGATCGCATTCGTATAAATGCAAATAAAATGGTAAATGGGAGCTTTTCCTTTCTTAGTCAACAGAAGGAGAAGGAAATGAGCCGACATGTCTGAGGGCAGCAAGGGCAGCTCGCTGGCCTTTGGCCAGGTGGTAATCGGGCCTCCGGGCTCTGGGAAGACGACCTACTGCCAGGGCATGCAGGAGTTCCTGGGCAGGATCGGGCGCAAGGTGACGGTGGTGAACCTGGACCCCGCCAACGAGGCGATGCCGTACCAGTGCGCCGTGGACATCGCCGAGCTCATCACCCTGCCCGATGTGATGGAGAACCTGAAGCTGGGACCCAACGGGGGGTTGATCTACTGCATGGAGTACCTGGAGGCCAACTTCGACTGGCTGCAAGAGAAGCTGGCTGCGTTCAAGGGTCACTACTACTTGTTTGACTGCCCGGGGCAGGTGGAGCTCTACACCCACCACGACGCCCTGAAGAACGTCTTCGCGCAGTTGGCCAAGTGGAATTTTAGGGTAGGTTTGGGTCTCTGCAGGGTGCTGAGAGCAGCGCCCGGCACCCCATGTGCTTGTGCAAGGGGTTCGGAAGCTGTAAGACACATGGTCAGAGCTTTTGATTGTGGGTACTAATGACAGTTTGCTTTACTAACCTGTTTGTCCTTTCATGAGAAATTATTAGGGAAGGAGGGGAATTTTGTCCCATTTTATGCTCGGAGGGATTGGAAGAGTGGTTTATTTGGGGTATTTAATGCAGTGGGGTTATCATGAACAGAAACATGGGTTCCTTCTGTGCTGTATTTTGGAGTGGGGAGGTCGATGTGTTCTGGGTGACAAATTCAGGCGTCATCTCAGGCCCTACCTGGCTCTCCTGCAGCCAAGCCGAATCGCTCTGCACGTTGTAGTACGTGCTCAGAGCTTTCTTGCACAATGGAAGATGCAAATGAGGAAGCACAGGTGAGAAGAGTCCCATAACCAAGCGAACTTGCTTATGTTGCATTTGTTTTGCATTTGGGCCAAACCATGAATGTGCAAACCCTGTGTGGTGTGAGCAAGAAGGGCAAGTTCATTTGCTTGAGAATGTCACGGGGAATCTGCACATTAGAGATTATTTTTATTCAAATAAATGTACGTGAAATTGTAGTTACTGAAAAAAAAAAGATAGTTACACTGCTGTTTTGCTGCCCGCTTGAGTGCTTACACCTGCCTGTGAGCTGTAAACTGGCTTTTTTTGCTGCAGAAGCACGGCTGTGACTCAGCCACACTCGACTGTAGAGCCCTGACTTTGAGTAGCATTGTGTAACAGGCAGTAACGTAACAGAGATCTGGGACCACGTTGTTACAGCTGCACAAAACACAGGGAATCAAACTGCTCATTAATTTAATTATTAATTATTATTTCAAACCGCATGACAATTGGTTCTCCCAGCAGAATGTGATGTGCTACAGTTACTGCTCCTGAGCGTACGCTGTGCCTGAGCGTTTCAGGGAGGGAAGGTGGAAATCAGGAGGCAGTTGTGTTGTTCGGAAGGAGAATTAACTCCAGCTCCCACCCCCAAAAAACCCTCAGAGTTCAGACAAGTGTGGAAACTTCATCTGCAGAGAAAGAAGCCCTGAGGTGTCTTTCAGTACTGCTGGTGGAGCTCAGCACCCCTGTAAGGCTCCCCACAGCCCTTTCTGTGCATCAGCACCCTGGATCCTGAATCCCCAGGGTGGTCCGTGGGTTTGGATGTGGTGATATAGTCTTGTATATGTGCGCTCGTATATATGAGAGCGTTTGATATGCAGGAGCTGGAAGGTAGGAGGAAACTTTTCCTGCGTGGGAGTCTCTGTGATTATAGTCACACAGATACTGTCCCACAGCTGCTTCTCAGACTGTCCCAGAAGCAAGCGGATGGATTGTCACGGGTCTGACCTTGTCCTGTCCCTTTGTGCCTTTGCTGTCCAGCTGGCTGCGGTGCATCTGGTGGATTCTCACTACTGCACGGACCCTGGCAAGTTCATCTCTGTTCTCTGCACCTCGCTCTCCACCATGCTGCACGTGGAACTGCCCCACGTCAACGTCCTCTCCAAGATGGATCTGATCGAGCAATATGGCAAGTTGGGTAAGAGCCTTTGTGAGGGAGACACGTGGAATTGGGCTGCGGCCGGTGCAGATCAGCTGCTGGTGTTGCTGGGAGATGGTGGGGGCACTGGTGTAAATCTCACTGCATTTTTCAATTTACAAATTGTCTTCAGAGCTTCTTGGCGTTTCCCTTTAGCTTTCAACCTGGATTACTACACGGAGGTCCTGGATCTCTCTTACTTGGTTGATCATTTAGCTTCCGACCCCTTCTTCAGAAATTACCGCCGCCTCAATGAGAAGCTGGTGGAGGTGATTGAGGACTACAGCCTGGTGTCCTTTGTTCCACTCAATGTCCAGGTGATGCAGCAGGAGGAGTGGGGCAGAGAGAGCAGGGAGTGTTGGTAGCAGCCCATGAGGGCTGAAAACCTCGGGGATGGAGGAGGACAGTGAAACACACTCCGACTTGTAAATACCCTGTGGCAGCCAAGGAAAAAGAAAAGGCTAATGAGCTTGGGGCTGTGTGGGCCTTGTGTCCTGGGGTGGGGAATTAAGGCTTCCCCTTCACTCAGCTCTTCTGTGCCTGCATTTCAAATCTGAGCAAAGTATTACCTAAATCACTGTTAAATTAGGGAGCACAAAATAATTAAAAGACTGGGAGGAACACATTTGGGAAGAAGGGCTGAAAATGTTCATCTGGTAGTTCTCAGAACTGTCAACAAAGGCACATGGACTGAGACAAGAGGTGATGAAAGGGAGTGAGAGGGTGGAGGGTGTCAGCCCATGTCTATCCGGGCTCGGCAGGGGGTGCCCCTGGTTCTCCTCTGCCTCAGGGGGGCCGGCAGCATCCTCGGGGCGCTGGGTGGGTGGCCCAGAGTCTTGGAGAAAATCCGTGGTAAAGCCCAACATGAGCTCTTGCCTCTGGGGCAGGACCAGATTCCCTGTGTGTCATGTCCCTCCCTTTCAGGATAAGGAGAGCATGCGGCAGGTGATGCAGGCGGTGGACAAAGCCAACGGCTACTCCTTCGGAGACCAGGAGCACAGGAGCCTGGACGCTCTGATGTCGGCTGCAGTAGGAGCCGATTTCCACTTTACTTCGTATCCTTCTCCACCAAGCCTCTGCTGTGTTGAGTTTTTATTTCTCTTTCCTTGGGGACTGGAGGTGGGGGTTGGCAGTTTGCAGGCCCAGGTTGTTACTAACATCATCCGATGCTGTTTGGTGATGGCACGGAGCAAGTGGTAGAGCTCAGCCCAGACCTTAGCAGACAGTTGTCCACACCAAAGCCACCACATTTGTTGCTAACTGGTACTGTGAACGTGGGAGGAATCTTTTGACAACTTTCCTCTCTCACACTCACTTGGACTGCTTCGTTCCACCTCATCCAAACCATACAACTGTCGGCTCTGGGATCAGCCAGAGCCAGAAATAACTCAGGTGATACGTTCTGCTGCCAGTACTGCCTCTTCCTGCCAGCCTTCAGGCTAATGTGGGGCTGGTTCCTCGCTGAGAACGTTAAGAGCTCCTTGCAGAAGGGAGTGTTTGAGCCCAGCCCCTTGTTTTCCTTAATTACTGCGTTATCAGCACACTTGCAGTGCAGGAGAAGTATGTGCAATCTCAGGACAAAGCTGTGGAAGAACAAGTGATGGATCTGTAACACACCCACCTCTTCCACAGCTGCTCTCTGTTTTGACACCTTTCCTTTTCCTACCCGGAGCTTAAGGGATCTCTGCGTCCTGTGACTCAGAGCAAGTGAAAGCCTGTCCAGGCAGAGGTCTGGCTGCTGGACTCCCTCTCGGTAAGGGTTTGACCTCTTGTGCTTCAGCCCCGCTGCACAGAGCAGTGTTTGTGCAGAAAGGTGATGGCTGAGCGCAAGGCAAGCCAGGTCTTTCCTCAGGAACAGAGGAGATTTAGCCAGGTGAAGGCATGGTTAGCAAGAGGAGAGAAGCAAGATAAAGGAGATGGACCTTTGCCAAGTCTCCTCCCCATCGTGACCAAGGTAGATCCAGAGGAAGAAAATAATTCTGAGCTGTCTCTTCTGCAGTGACACTTGAGCCCAAAGTTCTGCATTTACTGCATAGGAGGGACGTGCCTGGGCCTCGCGCTCACGAGGATCCAAGCCTCCAATCTGTCTCAAGGAGGACAGAAAGATGGTTGTTTTTCTTTTTTTTTTTTTTTTTTGAATAATGATGGACTCTTTCTTAATAAAACACTCCTCCGTCTTGCTTTAATCTTCTGAGTTTGCTGAACCTGAATAAATAAAACCAAAGTGCTACAACGCCCAAGGCTAAAAAGCCTCTGGTGGGAACGTCACAGCAGCTGGCGCGTTGTGTGCTTTGCAGAAAGGCTCCGTGTTTGCGACGTCCTGTCCCTCTATGATCCACCTGAGCTACAGACAAAGCCTTTGCTGGAGGGAGGGAGGGAGAAGAGCGACTGTGGGATGTGAAAGCAGGTCACTCCTCCTGTTGCTTTATCCAGGGGCCCAGCGCTGGGCTCTGGTGTGTGCCCAAACTGTAGGCTCAGCTTTTGTAGGCCCTGCGTGGCTCGGCAGGAGGTGGGAACCCATCACTGGCCTTTTCCCTCATCCATCCACCTTCTGTTTTCTGGGCTTGCTTTCTGCCGTACCTTCTCCAGCTCCCAAATCCTGGGGCTTCCCCTCCTCCCCGTCATTAACTCCCCTCTCACCAGCCGGTGACACCAGCAGCCTCACCTGCCACCTTCCGCAGTGGCTTGGGCCCGTCCGTGCTGTGACTCGGGAAGGTTGGGGTGGTGAAAAGCACGGCAGCCACCCCGAGCAGCCCTCCCAGTGTTCCCAGCAGCTCACGTAGGGTGGGAGCGGGTGAGAATCCCGGCTCCCAGCTCGGGGTGCAGACTCAGCATCGCCTCTTGCCCAAGACCTTGCATAAGATAAGGCGGCTGCTTTGCGCAGGCCGGTTCGGCTCTTGGCAGAGCGCCTGCAGACCACCGACTGGTGAGTCTGAATGGCAGCGGGGTCTTGCTTAGCAGGGACTGCAGCTAGGCGGGGAATTCAAACTAAATTTTCCTGCATCTCACAGCTTTGAGGCCAGGCGGAGCTCCAGGGGAGAAGGGAGAAGACACACGCTGCCCTGCGCGCACACACCGGCTTGTGCTTTAACCAGAGCAGGTCACAATTAAAGACTGCACTGACATTTCAAATATAAAAGTCAAATTCCTGTCTGCTGTCAGTGTTCCTGAGAGCCCAGGGACTTCCCTGGATGTTCCTGACTGAAACCCAGTGGCCGCATTTCAGTGCTATGGGGGGGCTGAAGGTCTGTCAGTTCCATAACAGGAGCTGAACCTCCAGCCTTGCCTCGTGGTCTCACAGATTTGTCTTTGATCCCTGTAGTAGGATGGAAGATGTGATCATCAAAATGTGAATTTTTATGGTGGCTTTTTCATGGCTTTGAGAGATTTGGTGGCTTAAAAGGGTATTGTCAGGTCAAGCTGGAGTTATGCAAGAACCATCAAAGCTTTTGTGGCTGTTTGGCTTTTTTATTTTAATAGCCAGGCAGCAGCTGCAGCACCAGCCCTGCTGTGCTGTGCCCGTGCTGGAGAAAATGCCAATCAAAGGTGACAGAAACCTCTCAGCTCAGGGAACCTCTGCTGCGTCCGAGCCAGGAAATGCTGAAGCCTAAAAGAGCTACAGCTTGAAGTGGTTTTGCACCAAGGGGCTCGATGCAGCCCGGGTTTGGAAATCAGGGGCCGACTTGGGCCCCGCAGGGCTGATACTCGCTGCTCCTGGTGAGGGGGAAGCAGAAGATGGTTCCCAGCAGGCGGGGATGGCCGGGGACCCCGGTGTGAAATCCAGCTGGCTCCTGCACCCACATGTCCCCATGTTGGGAGGGGACGGCCTCGCCAAGGCTCCCGGGGCTGAGGGAGGTGACACCTTGGCTCCTGTCACTCCCGTTGAGCAATCAGCCGGGGCGAAGGGCCAGGATTAGTCACCCCGATCGAGGCACATCCCTGGCGGGGGGGAGGCTTTCTGCTGAGCTGGTCCTACCTGCCCCGACCCCTCTAAGCCTGGTGCTGGCAAAAACTGAGCCCACCCCGACCTCACCTGGGACCTCCTGGGCCAGACTGAGCACAGCAGGTCATGGTTTTGGGGGCTGGAGGGGTTTGGGCTTCAATTGCAGCCACTGAGCTGGGGTTTGTTGTGCCTCCCACCTCCAGCTTCCAGCCCCAACCCCTGTCTTGTGGCCGGGCCACCGCACCAGAGCCCTGGTTGCAAATAGTCACCACAGCTGCTGCTGGGGAGGCAGCAGCACCCCAGAACTGTGTTAACCTCCCCCCGGCAGCTGCAAGTCCTTCTCCATAGCCCAAAACATGGTGCCTGGATCAGGCCAAGCCAGCCAGCCACATGCGAGTGTGGCTACCAGGCTGAAATGCTGGGCGTTTTTGGCAGTCCCCAGCCATCACAGTGTGGGTCAGGGCTTGGCCCCGTGCTGGGAGTCTTGCCAGGGCTGTGGGATGGGTGAGGGCGTGGGCTAAAATCCAGAGGATGGGGCCAGCGTGACCTCACAGCATCTGCCCCAGAACAGGTCAGGGGGCTGCTGGCTCCATCACGGGGCATCTACTCGAAGGCTGCGAGTTTCCCCACCAAGTGCTCTCTAAGGGGGCATGAAAAGCCTCTCCAAAAACTAAAAAGCCCCCAGACCAGGTCCTCCAGGGCAAGCCTGGCACACCCCAGTGCCTGCCTGGCAGAAGGCTGCCCATTGCTACCCAGGGCCGGGGGTGACAGCCACCCAGCACCTGTCCCCTGGGTGCCACGACACCAGGGTGTTGGTGGCTCAGGCTCAGTCCTGAGGGGACTTGTGAGAGCTGGGGACAAGGGACGAGCCTGGCTGTGGGTCCTGGAGGCCTCCAGCCCCACTCCAGACTGGCAGAGCCTTTTGCAGGCAACGTGGCCAGTAGCAGTATCCCCAGCTTGCCCTCAGAGACTTGTTGCAGTAGCCTTAACCCCATGGCTGCTAGCCACAGTGTGCACCAGGCTGTGCCAGGACCCTGCACCCAGGGCCTGGCTGGGAAAGTGGCTCCAAGGTGGGGGACACTCCCTGGTCCTGGGGCACCTATTGCTCTTCTTTGTCCACTAAAACACATAAATTGGAGAGTTTTGCTGCGTGCCCCTTCCTGGGGGGTGTCAGGGATGCTCAGAGCATCCTCGGGCATGCCCCAGCCATGGCACAAGGGTGGGGATCGGGCTCCAAACGTCTCCCTGGTCCCTTCCATCTGGGTCCCACCCAGCGGAACTGGCGGTCAGGAGGACCCCGGGGAACACCCCACACTCCCCACCAGCACAACCCTCTCACGGGAGAGGTCACGGGGTCCTGGGGGCCCCTTCCCAGTCCCAAAAAGCTGCTGGACTGGCTGGGAGGCCGGGGAGCATCGTCCTCCCACACGGCCCAGCCAGGCTGCAATTTCAGGCGCTGTCGAAATCGGTTAACTCGTGGGAGGCCAGAGGGAGCCTCCTTGTCCTCCTGCCCCCGTGGGCCCCGAGGAGCAGCAGGGACAGACAGTGACCCCCAGTTAACCCGGGCGCCAGCACCCCTCAGCTCCCACCTCGCCGCTCCCCAGTTTAACCAGCCCCGGCTGCTCGTGTCCCCAGACCGCCGGGTCAAGGGCCAGCGAGAGCCCTTGGCTCGTTTTTCACGTCGGCCAGCCCCGCTTTGGCTAATTACAGGTCTGGGGCTGGTTCCCAGGCTGGGAGTGCTCAGGGCCGGGCGGAGGCCAAGCGTCAGGGCCCCTCGCTGGCCTCCCCCACGGGAACTGGCTGGGCTCCCCGAGACTGCCGGGGGCCCCCCCAGCTCGGCCAGGACCTGCTGAGCAAATTGCGACCTGCCGGGGCCGCTGACCCGGTCCTTGGCAGGGCCAGGGCAGCACCCGTGTTTGCTCCTACCAGATGCCATCCTGGGAAGGGGACTGGGGGGGGTGGGGGTGGGTGCGGGGCTGAGGCAGGGTGCTCACAGGGGTTAATCCCCTCGGCTGGGCTCTGCTCCAGGTGCCTCTTCCCATCCAGGGCGAACAGGTTCTGGTTTGTGCAGCTCAGCCTCTCACAGCAGCCAGCGCTTTCCCACGGCAGAGCCCTGGCAAACCTCATTACACCCCGGGCCGGTCGCTGCACAGGGTCAGCAGCCCCGTGGGCTTTGCACTGGGTGCCCCACGATCCCGGCACGCATCAGAAGGTGAGGAGGCGGGGGGGGTGTCACTTCCTTGGTCGTGCCTCAGTTTCCCCAAAGCCCAGGAGCATCTGGCACCCCAGGAGCTGGGGCTTGGCCACGCCAGGGCTCGGGGCTGGCATGTCCCCCACGTCCCCAGCTGGGGACCCCGCTGAACCGGGACGGCACGTCCTGAGTCACGGCGCGTTTCCTCCCGGCATCCCGGTGTTTCCCATCAAAGGCCGGCTCCTGCCCAGCCCTGCTGCGCTTGATCTGATGAGCTCATAGCCCAGGGTGCCATGACTGTATTTTATTGTAATTATTTTTCATGTCGAAACTCGTGCTGGCAGCGGGGAGTGTGGGGGGGCTGCGCTCAGTGAGCTGCACCCTTCACTGTGGCCAGACGCCAGGGCCAGAAGTGCTGAGCTTTTGCCCACTCTGGCAC